TTGTTTTTCTTTCTCTTTGACAACTCATTGCTCAGTGGGATGATGAAACAGGTACTGTACTGTAACATCAGTCGATAAATACTGTAAAAGTATGATTTAGTGTGCAGGTGCTGCTTATTAGTTTTGGCGGCTCAAGAGAGGGTACTTCATGAAAGCCAGCCACTTATTTGCAGCAGCAGACAATTTCAATTTAGCAGCAATTCCAAGGCTGGCCATCACTTCCCTCTTGAGAAAATTTGCATTTGAAATAGTAATTGTTTGTGCTGGAAACCCGCCTAAGGACCGCCTTAAGTTGATAGTGCAGGATGACTTGAAAAGTAACCTGGTTTAGTACCATTTAATGTTATTCTTCTGTTTGTCGGACTGACAGTTACATCCAGATACTGTTTTCATCATTGACAGGACTTCTGGTTTGTCTCCCAATATTTTGTAGATTTAAAAGCCCTGGAAGCAGCTGTTCGTTCTATCGAGTGTGATGGGCTTGAATGGAAAGCTAGTAAGTACATATCGACCAACTCTCTCAGATCGAACTGTAAACTCTTCAAAATACAGACTGAGTATCTCAGTATCTCAGAATCAAGTGAGCTGTAGAGTTTAACCTGGTGTAACAGAGGTCATTGCTGTTTGTTGTCATGAAAAATAGCAATTATTCCAGGTTGGCATTTTCATAATTTTTACATAATTTTCATTTAATGCAACACCAACTTATTAACTCTCGTTGGTAACCATAAGTCATTCAGTTCTTTAGAGAATAAATATCAATATATTGTAGTCTTCACAGCAGGACCACTTCAACCAAGGTCACCTGACAAAATTTTCCACAAAATAAACTTAATTTACCCAATAAAAATCGTGAAAGTTAATAGTTTTCCATCAAATTATCCTTGTAATAAAGCAGTACATTACGAAGGCAACAAAGTTGTGGTCATTTTCATTAGTCGCACTGTAAAAGGCTGCATGCAGCTTGTGATTANTTGTTTTTCTTTCTCTTTGACAACTCATTGCTCAGTGGGATGATGAAACAGGTACTGTACTGTAACATCAATCGATAAATACTGTAAAAGTATGATTTAGTGTGCAGGCACTGCTTATTAGTTTTCGCGGCTCAAGAGAGGGTACTTCGTGAAAGCCAGCCACTTATTTGCAGCAGCAGACAATTTCAATTTAGCAGCAATTCCAAGGCTGGACATCACTTCCTTCTTGAGAAAATTTGCACTTGAAATATTAATTGCATGTGCTGGAAACCTAAGTTTATAGTACAAGATGACTTGAAAAGTAACCTGGTTTAGTACCATTCAATGTTATTCTTCTGTTTGTCGGACTGACAGCTACATGCAAATACTGTTTGCATCTTTGACGGTACTTCTTGTTTGTCTCCCAATATTTTGTAGATTTAAAAGCCCTGGAAGCGGCCGTTCGTTCCATCGAGTGTGATGGACTTGAATGGAAAGCTAGTAAGTACATATCAACCAGCTCTCTCAGATCAAGCTGTAAACTCTCCAAAATACAGACTGAGTATCTCGGTATCTCAGAATCAAATGAGCTCTAGAGTTTAACCTGGTGTAACAGAGGTCATTGCTGTTTGTGGTCATAAAAAATAATCATTTCAGGTTGGCATTTTCATAATTTTGCATAATTTTCATTTAATGCAGCACCAACTTATTAACTCTCGTTTGTAACCATAAGTCATGCAATTCTTAAGAGAATAAATATAAATATATTGTAGTCTTCACAATGGGACCACTTCAACTAAGGTCGCCTGACAAAATTTTCCACAAAATAAAATTAATTTACCCAATAAAAATCATGAAAGTTAATTGTTTTCCATCAAATTATCCTTGTAATAAAGCAGTACATTAAGAAGGCAACAAAGTTGTGGTCATTTTCATTAGTCGCACTGTAAAAGGCTGCATGCAGCTTGTGATTATTGTTAAGAAAGTGTTATTGCATTTTATTGACAGGCAAGTTCATTCCTGTTGCATATGGTGTGCAGAAACTTCAAATTTCCTGTGTAGTAGAAGATGATAAAGTCGGTACGGATTTTCTGGAAGAAAAAATCACAGAATTTGAGGATTTTGTAAGTAAA